CCTCTGGAAGAGTCCCTGCCTTTGCCCACTTCTCCTTCCTACCAATTCTCTGCTCTGTGGGGGAGGGGGGGCTCAACCATGGTATCCAACCACCCTGCCCCTTCCCCCCCCCCCCGCAGGGCCCACTCGCACATCACTCACGAAGGAGAAACCTCCACTGAAGGTGAACTCCTGCACCCAATGCCATCCTCCTCTGCTTCTTTCCAGGGCAAGCAGGTTTCATTTAACCCCTGCAAGGGAAAAGCTCTTGGTCCTGTTGTGTCTAAGGGGCCTGGTCCCTGGGCTGCTGTTGCTGCCACTAGGCTGCCCACTGCTGCATGTGCTCTTTACTGGTGCTGTGGCTGCCTCTGGAGTTATTTCCAGATAGTCCTTGCTGATACCCTACTGGTAACCCTGCGGCTCTTAGGGACCCTCAACCCCAGAGGCGGGGAACCACTGCTCTGTGTAACCAGAAGCAAAGTTAGACATTTTTAAATCAACAGGTCCAGATAACTTGCCTCCAAGAGTTTTAAAAGACCTGGTTGAGGAGCTTGCTGAACTGTTAATACTGATTTTCAATAAGTCTTGGAGCACTGAGGAAGTTCCAGAAGATTGGATGAAAACTAATGTTGTGCCAATTTTTAAAATGGGTAAATGGGATTACCCAGGTAAGTATAGGTCTGTCAGTCTGATATTCATTCATCCCAAGCAAGATAATGGAGCAGAGGATATGGGATTTGATTAAAAAAAGAATTAAAGGAGGGTAATGTAATTAATGCAAATCAACATGGGATTTATGAAAAACTGGACCCTGCCTAACTAACCTGATATTTTTTTATGAGATTACAGGTTTGGTTGATAAAGGTAATAGTGTGGTTATAATATCCTTAGACTTTGGTAAGGAATTTGACTTGGTACTGCACAAGATTTTGATTAAAAAATCAGAATGATAAAAACTGATATGGCACACATTAAACAGATTAACAACTGGCTACCTGATCAGTCTCAAAACGTAACTGTAAATGGGAAATCATCATCAAGTGGGTGCATTTCCAGGGGCATCCCACAAGGATCAATTCTTGGCCCTATGCTAGTTAACATTTTTATCAATGACCTGGAAGAAAAAACAAAAATTGGAGGAGTGATAAATAATGAAGAGGACAGGTCACTCATACAGAGCAAATTGGATCACTTGGAAAACTGGGTGCAAGCAAATAATGTGTGTTTTAATATGGCAAAATGTAGAGGTATACATCTAGGAACAACAGATGTAGGCCATACTTACAGGATTGGAGGAAGCAGTGACTCTGAAAAAGATTTGGGGGTCATGGTGGATAATCAGCTGAACATGAGCTCCCAGTTTGGGGCTGGTGCCAAAAAAGCTAATGTTATGCATAAACAGGGGAATATCAACTATGCATAGAGAGGTTATTTTACCTCTATATTTGGCTCAGGTGCGACTGCTGCTGGATTACTGTATCCAGTTCTGGTGCCCACAATTTGAGAAGGATGTTGACAAATTGAAGATGGTTCAGAAAAGAACCACAAGAATGACTAAAGGATTAGACAATGTGCCTTATAGTTATTGATTCAAGGAGCTCCATCTATTTAGCTTAAGAAGAGAAGGTTAAAGGGCTCTTCAGTCTAGCAGACAAAGGTATAACACAATTCAATGGCTGGAAGTTGAAGCTATACAAATTCAGACTGGAAATAAGGTGCACATATTTAACAGTGAAGGTAATTAACAATTGGAACAATTTACCAAGGGTCGTAGTGGATTCTCCATCATGGGCAATTTTAAAATCAAGATTGGATGTTTTTTCTAAAAGATACACTCTTAGTGATTATTCTGGGGGACCTTCTATGGCCTGTGTTATCCAGAAGGTCAGAATAGATGGTCACAGTGGTTCCTTTTGGCACTGGAAGCTATAAATCTATGCTGGAATGGAAATCATGGGATACAATCAGACAGCACTGTGAAGAGGGCAGTATGTATGCACAGACTGGCAGACAGACAACTTCAAAAGCTGAAGTTCAATTGCCAGTATTTCCTACATAAAATCACATAATCACCCTTCCCTTTGTTTCCAGTATTCTATAGCCTGATGTACATGCATGTGTACAATGCTGATGGGCCTGAGATTTGGGTATCCTCAAGTGCAAGTGCTTCCACTTACTGTATACATCAGGCATCTTTGGAGAGGTCGAGGTAAGGTATGCTATTGACTGCTAATTGTACATTTTCTTTCCTTTGCTATTTATGTCAAATCCTTGTTTGATTAATTAACTGTTTCTTTGTGAGTTTCTGCCTCCTTTTTATTTTAAAATTATTTATACTATATGATAATTTAGATGTTTTGGGTTACTCCTGCAAAGATTTGTGTACTTTTAAAACCCAGAAGTAAGTGACCTTTCAGTACAGGTATGTGTACTGTTTGAAGGATAATGCCATGGTTCCATCTTTTACTGTAGTACTGCTTCTGAAAGATGGCACTGAGAACTGTCATTACAAACACTTGCTCTTCCTTGCTGTATGATAGATTTTCAAGTCTTTAGACCATTTACAAGGGAGGCATCATAGTCTGGTGGACAGGCCACTAGTCTGGGAGTCCAGAGACCTGAATTATATTGTCAGCTCTACTCTTGACTCACTTTCAGTAAGACACTTGTGATAAAATTTCTAAGTGTCCTTCAAATTTGGTTATCTCCTTTTTGGATGCCCAGTTCAAAACAGGTGGGGAACTGCAGCTGATAAGTATACCTGAGAATCAGGCCTTAGATGTCTTCTCAAGCAGAACACCCAAGGGGCCTTCAGTTTTGTTTTTTCCCCTCTTCTGTAAATTAGGGATAATGAAACGTAACCACTTTTAGGTAGCACTATGATCCGCAAATGAAAACTGTTATGTAATACTAAGTAGTAGTAATAGGAATGATGGACCTTATTATTGTAACTGATATTTGGGAGGGTTCTTGTAACTAGACATAGATATAATGTAATAAAGAATTGATTTAAAATATTTTTTGAACTTTTGTGCTGTATGTCTGAAAACCTTACATAATTGGAAGGGTGGTATTAAATGCTGCCCTGAGGGAATGGTTGAACTAATTACACTTTTAAAAACTGAATGAAGAGTTAAATGACAAAGTGAAAATTCAAATGAAATATCCACAGTACAAGTTAATCTAATGGCAGTGGGTGACAAGTTAATTCAGATAGCAGGGTCATTCATATAACAGTGGGAGTCATATTAGTTAATCACCTGCTATACTTGAGGGAAGAAAGTGGGGAGGATCATATGACAGAAGGCAAAAAATAGAAGAGATCATGGAGGGAAGGGAGAAGAATTAAAATGAAGGAAAACATGCTGAGGGACTTGGCAAGGGAAAGTACCAGTTGGAGAGGGAGGCCCAGGAGGTAGAACAGAATGGAAGGAAATACGGGGATAAGAAGGAATGGTCAAAATCTAGGGGGGAAAAGAATCAGAGTGAAGATCTTGAAGAGAGAAAGGAATGTAACATTGGAGGAGAGAGTGTCACAGAAAAAGAAAGAGGATAGATTCATAGATTATAAGGCCAGAAGGGACAATTGTGATCATCTAGTCTGACCTCCTGTATAACATAGGTCATAGGACTTCCCTGAATTAATTCCTCTTTGAAATAGAGTATAACTTTTAGAAAAAAACATCCAATCTTGATTTAAGAATTGACAGTGGTGGAGAATCCACCACAACTTTTGATAAGTTGTTCCAATGGTTAATTATCCTCACTGTTAAAAATGTGTACCTTATTTCAAGTCTGAATTTGTCTAGCTTCAACTTCCAGCCACTGAATTTCATTAAACCTTTGTCTGCTAGATTGAAGAGGCTATTTTAGAACGTTTATTCCCCATGTAAGTGCTTAAAAACTGTGATGAAGCAACCCATAACCTTCTCTGTTAAGATAAATAGATTGAGCTCCTGGAATCTATCACTATACGGGATGTTTTCTAATCCTTTAGTTGTTCTCATGACCCTTCTCAGTCTCCCAATTTATCAACATCCTTCTTGAATTGTGAACACCAGAACAAAAACAGTAATCCAATAGCAGTTGCACCAGTGTCAAATGCAGAGATGGTAACAGAGCCTCCCAACTCCCAGTTGATATTCCCCTCTTTATACATCCAAAGATTTCATTAGTCCTGTTGGCCACAGCACTGAACCCGAAACTCATGTTCAGCTGATTATTCAGCAAAACCTGAACATCTTTTTTAGGGTCACTGCTTCCATCCCCATCCTGTAAGTGTGACCCATATTGTTTGCTCCTAGATACATATCTTTACATTTGACTACATTAAAATGCATAGTTTTTGTGCCCAGAAATATAGAAGAAAGGTGCAAAAGGAGGAAAGAGAGAATTAAAATATTTGGAAATAAAATACACATTTTTGCGAGAAGTATCTTTTTCAGGAGCTTAGCCATAGGACACAAAATCAGTAACAGAAACCGATTATGTAAAGGGGAAACAGTACTTCACTCATTTGCATTTCAAAACCAAAAAATTCTGGAATAAATATATGTTGACTTGTTATAGATTCTTTTTCTAGCATCTATTAGACACTCACACCCCAGCCCTATTACTGTGTACACACAAAGCTTTAAATACAATAATGCAGACATCACCTGTCTCAACCATGCTTCACTTGTTATGGAGGAAAAATGTGCCAAAATGCCAGAGAAACAGAATGCACATTTGATGAGCAACCTCAGGCTTTCAGTGAGCCTTCTGGGATACATATTTAGACAAACAAAGGCTAGATGGTGTATAATGCTTAACACCACTTGTGCTATGTTTTTTCAAATGTATTATGGAAAAATCTTAAACTTCACAGAGTAAGGTAGAGTTAGAAATAGATTGCGTTATGCTGATATAAAAGTGTATACAACAGTACAATTATTAGGAGATTCTTCATTCTTTTCTTAAAGTTCCAACTACACACAGTCCAGACAGACACACAGATGTTCAAGTTAATAAACAGTGATTACCTCAATGCAGCAGTTTTTCCATTTTTGTGAGTACATGTAACCTGCCGGGTCTGATACCCAATCTGTATGTCCCAATATTTGTTCTCTTGTCTGTTCTGCCTATTTCGATTCCTCTTTTTCTTAATAAGCTCCCGAGCTTCAGGATCCCGAACTCCTTTTTCTCTGTCCTTCTCCTTTTCTTTGTTCTTCCCTCGTTTCCTTGCTTGCCTTATATGTCTTGAGTGGGGCACTGAGCATGTACTCCAGGGCCCCACATTCAGGCTATGCATGCTTTCTTCAGTAGTACATGGGACAGAGTGACAGATCTGAAATTCAGTCAGGTTAGGGCAGGCAGAGCCACCAAACTGAGGTGGAGCAACAATGTGACGAGTTCGATGCTGAAGCCCGTTGCCACAGGTCTTGGAACATTCTGACCAGGGGGAGAACTCTGCCACAATACAGTCCTGACGGCAAGGGATGAGGCATGCCTGTTCCAGGCGTGGCTTTGGCTCAAAGTACTCGCATATGACATCCTCAGCAGAAACCCCATTTGATTTTTGGATACAAGTTACGTCTCTCATCTGGATTCCTTCTTCTCCTTTGATGCATTCCACTGGTTTTTCAAGATTCCTTGAAATAACTGGCTGGCACTGATTCCAATTGCCCAACTGCCAATCATACAGTTCTTTGTGCCAGTCACAAACCCTGAAACAGTTCTGTTGGTTCTCAGGCCTCTCTGTCTGTTTACAATTTGTGGGCAGTGTTGTCCATCCTTCCGCATGAGCACACCATACTGCCCGTGTTTGGATACCACCTGGACCACATTCATCTCCCATACATCTTCCCCATGGACCTAGGAAACAAGATGAAAGCCACTGTAATATTTTACATTTAATTACTGCTTCATTATTAAACTCAAGATACAGCGAGAAAGCACAAGAATCAAGAGCATATTCTTTCCCAATAGCCCTACAAAGCAGGGTCTTCGTATGATATGTAGGAAAGAAAAGTTATTGATTTTCATCTATTATAGAGTACAATCTTAGAGAGCCTACATAATAGAACAAGTGAGGGACTATCCCTCTGTTTTCTGGTCTTTTTGTGATTATAAATGAATTTTACTACATAGTTTTCTTTTCATGTTGAATAATTAAAATATTTCTGCTCTTGGAGTTCATCAGAGATTGATCACATCAGGATTGAGACATTATACAATTTATTTGTAAAAATTTGCTTTGCCAGCTAAACAGGAGAAAAGCTTCCCCACAGTATGTGTAAACAATCTCAGCTCCAACCTACAGGCAAACTCTTCTGGAGATCAGATTTTGGTTTTCTGTCTAGCTTTTCCAATGCAACCCAACTTCATAGTCACATGCTACATAGCTCTCATTTTTCTAAATTGTGTCAAATAAAGAGAATAATATAAAAAAAAAATCTGAAAAACAGTGGTCATTGCAGGTGATGTGAGACCTATTTTGCCAACTTTTAAATCCTCCCCAAACTACTAAAAAAATAAAGGAAGCAGAATAAGTAAGCCTTTGTTCTGAGTAACTCATGAAGAGTCCTAGTAAAATATATATTCAGAGATGACGTCTTACCAGTTCCTGGCAATTTACAGAACAATAGAAATAAGTGACGAAACAGAGACAGTAGGTCTGCAATGGGCATACTTGTTTAGACTAATAACAAAACCATTAGAATTATCATGGATTTTAAAGTTCACAATGTAAACAGTTTCTGTGGTTTTAAACACAGGCACAATATTCAACAGGGCAAATTCACAAAAATCCACAAGTTACATAAGGGGAGGACTGTCACTGTGTTTATTATGAAAGCTACCGCCTGTTATTTTCCTGAGTTCTGACAAATTGATCAAAAGTGAAAAGATGCCACTTCTGTCTGCCAAAATTGCAAATCTGAACTAAGGGTGAAATGTTATGATATTCAGGTATATAAATTCTCAGCTATGACTTTATTGTTATAGTCACAAAATGAAAGTCAGACCTTTTGCATAGGTGTCTTTTTAAAACAAAGTATGAAAGATGCACAAGATTATATTACAACTAAAAAATAAACCTGTGCTGAATTTAGTGTTCTCTATTAAATCATTCATGCCCATTTACTCTACGTTGGAGAGCAAAGAAAGAAAATATAATCCAGCTAACTTTCTGTTGAAAAGCTGAAAAAAATACTGACCTTAGTGTGCATTTACTTATGTTCTCATAAGTTCTCCTATGTACTCAGTAAAACGCTGTTTTTAATTTTTGTTTCACTCCACTGTGGAAGAGGAGAAAGACAGGCTGTGTAGCAAAATTACAATCACAATTTCTCCATAGTACAAATATCCACCACTAAACACAAACCTTATAAAACCAGGTGACTATCTAAAAAGTCCTTTCTTTGACAGAGAAGTTCCAGTGTCCACACACACACAATGGAGGCCAGACAATGCAATCTTTATTTATCTGAATGACCCCACTGATCATAATGGGACTATTTCCATGAGTAAAATTGTAGGATTTGCAAGGTTGAGCCCTTGTGACAGTGAAATAATTTTAAATATTTTTTTTTCATTTAGTGGCTGGCAGGAGTTTGGAGAGTCCCACAGACTTCAAAAACTTCCATTGGGAATGTTGCCTGTGATTCTAACATTAACTTCAGTGGGAGTTTTGGGAGCAGACTTTATGGTAAGATATGGCACTTAGTCTCCGTAGCCCTTGCTAGTGTACTTTTGAACAGACACTTGATTACAGTACACTGTAGAAGAGGCACTGTAGTTGAATAGTTTGCTTATGGATATTAAAACCTGAGCATTACATATATGATAGCAATGCCAGCTGGCAGACAGATTCAGCACATGCAAACTCCTGCACTGTTTTCTGCAGATTACGTTTGAATTAGGGTTTCCAAGGTTTAGCAAGATACCCAGAAAAATAAATGTATGTTTTAAGTACAAATACATTTCCGTTTCCATTTCAGTAAGATTACCCTACTCTAACCAGCCTTCCACAAATGACATAATCATCATTGTATTCATTGTATTCTAAATATATTTACATTGAGCACAAAGCAATTGCATTTCCTCAGAAAATTGCATGGAGTTCTATTTAAGAACACCAACCAAATCTAAAGGAAAAGAATAAAAACCTGCTTATAATCACCAACTAAAGCAAGGACAGTAATATAATCACAACTGAACATAAAGCTAACTCATTCAACTTGCAGACTGGAAACTCCTGTCTTATCACATCACTGCACCTTGTATTTACCCCGTGTGTCCAATTAAGAGAAACTCTTTTAAAGATCAGATCTTTGTCACTAAACTCCAGATGAAGGGTCACTATTTTGGCATTCATTTGAGCCTTGAAATAATGAAGTATTCAAGAGAGAGTGCACCATATCTAAAAATTGTTCCTGACAGCTGAGCATTGCTGTCCCACATAAATCTCATGTTCATACTAATCTAAATGCTAAAAATTGTAGTTAGGTCATTAAACGCAAACTGCAGTAATGTTAATGTGAAAAAATGGTAAAAATGCTGTATTGGAAGGTGATAAATGGGCTCTGCATTTATCTGTGGAACAGTATGAACTAACTCCACAATTTTAGCTGCACCTTCTAGCACTGCTATGATGTCAATGGTTTTAACACAGCCATAAAATCTGCTGTCGGATAAAAGATGGCACAAAAAGAGTTAGAATAAAAGAATATTAAAACAAAACAAAAAACAACACAGAATACCTTGTCTATTTTTAAAAGTTCTACGCATAGAAGACAAATGGAAAATGTATTAGTTCTGTGTGTGGGGTTTTTTGGGGTGGGGGGAGTTATAAAATTGAAAATGGCTTCCTTTTAAAAATGAATATTTGAAAGTTTTAACTTCATCAAGTGGGTGAGAACCAAATGGACTACTCACATACTTCAAGTGAAGCACTGCACAATGTTTGCAGGAGGGAGACCCTTGTAAATTTCATCTCCTAAATATTCAACTGCATGGGCCAGTATTTCTGCAGGCTTTCATGAGAATGTATTAATTTGGCTAAGGAAAAAATGTTGTAATTTTTTGCAAATGAATTGTATCTGAGGTCAACTGCCCTCAAAACTTCCTAAATCTGTAAATATCCACCACAAGAAGTTTCGCTAATTTTCTTAGTGAAAATGGTGACTTTTCACTCGTGTTTATCTACCTATCAATCTTAGGCCTTAATTATGTCTGAAGGGGAAGAAAAATACAAAATCTCAATGGAAGAGGAGAGAGAAGAATCATATGAACGAAAATAATGAAACAGGCCCTCCAAATCATGAGATTTTAAATATAATAAATTTGGGTCTCTGGTTTATAAGCCTTTAAAATTCACATTTATAAGCTTTACTCTACAACCATGAGAGCTCAATATATAGTATTTTTATTAATATTTTTTAAAATTACTGGCTCATACACCATTATGATCATTGAGTCTGACCTCATGCACATTGCAGGCCACAGGACCTCCCTCACCCACTCCTGTAACAGACCCATAACCTCTGGCTGAGTTACTGAAGCCCTCAAATCATGATTTAAAGACTACAAGTTACAGAGAATCCACCATTTACACTAGTTTAAACCAGCAAGTGACTCGTGCTCTATGCTGCAGAGGAAGACGAAAAAAACCCAGGGTCTCTGCAAATCTGAACTGGGGAAAATTTCCCGCCAAACCCAAATATGGCGATCAGTTAGACCCAGAGCATGTGGGCAAGACCATCCAGGCAGACACCGGGGAAGAATTATCTGTAGTATCTCAGAGCACCCCCACAGCCCCACCATCTACTGTACCATCACAGGCCATTGGAGATATTTGCTAGCAGTCGCAGACTGGCCACATGCCATTGTAGGCAGTCCCCTCCATACTATCCCCTCCATAAACTTATCAAGCTCAGTCTTGAAGCCACTTAGGTTTCTTTGCCCCCCACTGTGGCCCTTGGAAGGGCTGTCCCAGAACTTCACTCCTCTGATGGTTAGAAAGCTTCATCTAATTTAAAAAATAAACTTGTTGATGGCCAGTTTATATCCATTTGTTCTTGTGTCCACATTGGTGCTTAACTTAAATAACTCCGCTCCTGCCCTAGTATTTATCCCTCTGATTTATTTATAGAGTGCAATCATATCCCCTCAGTCTTCTTTTGGTTAGGCTAAACAGGCCAAGCTCCTTGAGTCTCATCCTATAAGGTAGGTTTTCCATTCTTCAGATCATCCTAGTAGCCCTTCTCTGCACCTGTTCCAGTTTGAATTCATCTTTCTTAAACAATGGAGATCAGAATTGCACACAGTTTTCCAGGTGAGATCTGACCAGTACCTTGTATAACAATACTAATACTTCCCTGTCTCTATTGGAAATACCTTGCCTGATGCATCCTAGGGCTGCATTAGCCTTTTTCAAGGACACATCATGTTGGTGGCTCATAGTCATCCTGTGATCAACTAAAACACCCAGAGAGATTCTCCAGGAACAAGGGCTTTAAAGAAAAACACCAAATATCACAAAACACATGCTAAAATCATTAAACTGGCAACACTACTTGACATTCTGGAAGTCCATGAATCCTTTTTATGCTAAAGGAATGTCCCATGGTTTAAATATTATTAAACGAGGCTGAAATGACTGCTGCATCATTGTATTATAATGTGACTACTGGCTGAAAGCACACCTAGACAAAAGGTGGCTTCCAGACCATCATGAAGACAGAACACCCCAGAGCTGAGGTTTTCCTTGATAAGTTCAGATTTGTGATTCCTCTCAGAGTTTTATCCAGAAAACATTATTGCGATGGGTTCGGTCACAGAGACCCCCTTGGGACTGTTACCTAATGTGCTGA